TGAGTTCTTTTCATTTTTACGCATTTGCGAGTGAGCTTTATAGACGATAAAATTCCTAAAAGTCACAATTGTCACGAAGTACAACCGTGTTGAAACGGATTTCAGTACTTCATGACAATGCAAGCAAATTACGGGTATAAATGAATGAATACACAGAGAGAATGTTTGTTTGATTTTTACTTCGAGGTAATCTCAGAATATACTGAATCGATTTTTAATTCTTTCATCATTGGAAAGCTTATTACTTTCCGATGTACCGTACATAAGATACGTTAAAAATCGGACCCTCACTCCTTCCTACTGATTTCATCTCTCCCACAAATCCCAAACCCTTTGATCAACCAGGACCAAATTCCGCATATTTACTCTCCGCTACTCTTCTCTATTACGGGAAACATTATGATGTATCATTCCTTCTTTGATTTCACCCACTATCTCTAAACTCCAAAACCTATCGAGCGATATCGACTAATTTTGCATAGTTACTCTCTACAATCTTCAAGCAATATACGGCACTTTTAAACTTGGACTTTCATTCCTTTCCCTGATTTCATCCTCCACAAACTGTCAAACTCTGACTGTTTGGACTAAATTTTGCAAAGTTATTCTCTGCTCCCTAATGAGGACAACTCAATTCCTCCCAGAGTTCCCGGGCAACTCTGGGCATTTTTGCTAGCGTGTTATATAGCATGCTTGATTGCAACTAGTATTAGCTATTTATTTAATTCCTTTGTTTATTACAAAAATGCTACATTCCACACAACAACAACAAATATTAAATGTTTAAATTTTATGATCACAGTTACTATTGTATACTAAAATTTTAAAGTGGTGTATCTGCTTACTTTGTTTTGTTCGTCCTGTCACGTCCTATTTCATCTAATCAGTATGTTTGAACAAATTAATTAGGTAAATTATATCTTAACTTCGAATCCAATTACCTATGTTATATTATTTATTATAATTTGGACTCGCTCGTCAGTAGGTTTAGTTGATAAATATTACCTGATCGCATTATAAATCCATGTAACGGCTTGACGAATTGGAATTACAACTATAGATACAACAAAAACTTTACTTTTACTGATTTTTGAGGCATAAACTAGTGTATCTTCACTTGCAACAGTTGTCTATTTAGGGTCTAAATAGTTTGTGGTAAAGGGCTTGTGAACAGACCCTAAGCTAAAGGAAATAGGTTGTCAGCAGATCTTAAATTTTAGTCTGCTCACAATATATTTCCTTTAGCTAACGAATCTGCCACTAGATGTCATGCCGCTTAGTCGAGATGAAGAATAGAAAACAAAAGTAACCGTGTGACATCTGGTATAGTCAGTCCCGTGGCAGAAATGATTCATTGGGGGCTAGAGGGACAATTTGTAAAAAAAATTGTGACTGGTATTTTTCTTTTTACAGCCAGCACTAGGCCTATTAGCTACAGTTGTATAAAAATAAGTAACAGTAACCTAAGTTTACGTGATGAATGCGAAAGCACGCATCATATACACTATACATGGATAATATTACTAACGGCGCCCGCAGACTATAAAAAGTTTGTTTCAGTTGGTTTACTTATGGCAACGCAACACTTGGGCGATCTGCCTAGAGGGATGCCTTTCGGGAGGTCTTTTTAAGGGAAACTGGCCCCTATTTAGGCGTTACAGACGTGGAGAAAACCCGGAAAACTCCACCTGGCCAGACCGTCCAAGGAGGCGCGTACCTACAACTGAACTTCTAGTGTTCAGGGTACGACCCCGCAGACAAAAATCTGGCTGTATGATGGCAAAGAGGAGCAGTGCTCCAAGTGTCCTAATGTACGAGCGCCCCTGCTACTCACTAAACTGAGAGGCCTTAGCACCTCACAGCCTCCCATAGCTACAAATATGGGTATCATAATAGTACCACGAGAGGATCACTGGTCGGTTCTTTGGAGACGGCTGACTTTGAATGGAGCACCGAGAGGATTGTGTTACATTCGGATGTTATAGATCCGGCTTGGGATTTAGTTACGTTACTGCAAATGCTCTATAGTCTGTATAGTCTAAGATCTAGACTTCACATTATCCGAAAACGAAAAAAATATCACAAATAGCTAAACAGAAAGAAATCTGATACTGAATCTCTAAGTTACACACTACCTGAAAATTGTGACATACTTGTAACCTTTCGAAGCTAAGTTTTCCAATGAAGGACGCTTTGCTGTCTTCAATGATCGTATCAATTTTCGGAAACTAAAACGAGAAGAAACATCGATTTTAGATGAGACAGAATTAATGTAAGGCTTCCGAGAGATTTGCGATCTCAAGATCGGGAGTTTGGTTAGGAGATATTTTAAACAAAATGATAATTATGAACATAGGAGCTGCAAAAAATTTTCAAGGGGTAAAACTTGAAGACAAATAATAATTAAATAAAAATTTACTGATGTAATTTGATTTTTTGGATTTTCTTCACAAGTAGATTATAGAATACAGTACTGTATTGTATCAATACGAGAAGACAAGGAGTTTTATGCTCGTTACATATCTCAATCAGTGTTAATCTTTTACGATTATAAATTGTGAAGATTTTTTTATTCAATCTCAAGGGAGGTCTTTTAGCTTAGGGTCTGTTCACAAACTATAGGCTACACAATCATAAACTATTTAGACCCTAAATAGACAATTGTTACAAGTGAAGATACACTAGTTTATGCATTTGCTCCCCTCTACGGACACACATGATTACGAAGTATTATATCATATTATTTAACCAATACTTTAAATCAGTAACACTTTTATGGCCACTTGTATGGTCAGGTCGACAGTTACGTCAGAAACAGCGCACTCAGCAGAGTTACAACAATCTTACTTTACCACTTAATTCTTGTCGAAAAATATTGTTTATAAACAATTTTTATTTAATATTTCTTAATTTTACTTTTTTTAAATCAAATTTTGTTCATTATACATTTTTTTTGTGTGTTAAAATTCCAATTGCAAATTTAAATCTTAATAAAAATCTTAATAAAAATTAAATTTACATGTAAATTCGAATATCTAAATATTCCATTTCTGTAACGACTTGATGTCATTAAAAACCTTTTCTTATTGGTGAAAATACAACTGAAAAGCTAACCAGAAACGAAAAAATACGATATTTTCACCTTTGATTTTTGGTGAGATTCTAACGAACCGAAAGTGAAAAAAAATGGAAGATTGATCGTTTTCAATTTGTTCTTCATTTCAGTTGTACTTTCAGGTAATATGGAGTACAGGCTTTACAAACAGTTAAATATCTTTTTGCTGAATGCAATCTACCGAAGCTCAAGTTCGGAACAAGTCCAACGTCACATATAGTAGTAAACGATTAAAAATGGCCAAGTCTACAGAAGAAGTAAAGTAAATATTTTATTTGCGCATATAAAGAATCTGTTTTAGTATTAATCCACCCAAGCACAGTTATCTAAATATATAAAATTACTTGTCCTGACTGACTGACTGACTAACTGATTCATCATCGCCCAGAGCAAACCGCTGAACCTAGAGGTGAAATTTGGTACACAGTTAGGGTACGTCATGAAAACGCGCACTAAGAAGGGATTTTTCGAAATTCCCCCGCGGGGGGAGAGGGAGAGGATTAAGGCTTAACCGGAAGAACGGCTTATACTGTACTATTTTAGATGCGATTTTTTGTTTTTATCTGCGTTTTAGTAGGGTATGCCATGGGAATGCACAATAAGACGGGATTTTTCAAAATTCCCCTGTGGGGGAGAGGGAGAGGATTAAGGCTTAACCGGAAGAACGGCTTCTACTGTACTATTTTAGATGCGATTTTTCGTTTTCAACTACGTTTAATTTTTATTGAGTAGCCTACTTAGATGTATTAAATTGATAACATTTCAGACATTGTTATAAATATTTTTATCTATTTCGATTTTTAAAATGTTCGAACCGTTGTAAATTCGAATTTGTTATTGCCTATTGGTTCGATTATAGAACGATTGTAAACGTTCCAGAAAATTGATCAAATTGAAAATACAGTAGTTCGTTTGATTCTCGGCAATTCTCATCATTCTCAGCGGTAGGTGTTATATAACAATTACAATGGTTGCTGAAATACTGAATACTAGCAGACCCCGCCATGCGTTGTTGTGGCCCAAAATGTATCTATTATAAATTTATAACACTTCCCCCGTGGGAGGGAAATTTTTCGAAAAATTTCTTCTTAGTGTACATTCTGTTGACGTACCCTATTAAAACACAATCAAAAACACAAAAAACCGCATCTAAAATAGTATAAATAGAAGCAGAGTTCTTTACGGTAAGCCTTAATCCTAACCATATCCCTTCAGTGGGGGGAATTTCGACACGTATATTATATAAAAACACGTGCGTATTCGAATGCAGCGTTGTGTCAAAATTTCAAAGGAATCGGTAGGAACAAACGAACATTACATTTTTATTTATATAGATAGATAGAAGATGATNATAAAGGAATTCGAATTTTTCTGGATGAGAAGTTTCGTTTCGTAAACTGATGAATAAAAATATCTATCTTCACTCAAGTAATATGGGACGAGATGTGATCTGGGTTACGTCCCAAATTACAAATCGAAATAGCATTAACTTTACAATTAGAAACGAAACATGTCATAAAATTGACGTGTTCAATAAATTATACAAAAGTGTTTTTGCACAAGACATGTTTATTATTTTAAAAATTAAATTCATAACATTTTGAACAAAAACAGATACGTTTCAGTTTATGAAATAAATTTAAGCAAAATTTTAATATTATGTTATTATGTTATTTATATTATATTTATGCAGTAACAACTAAAAAACTTCCTTAAATTAACGTGACGTAGTATACGAGCTACGAATACGTAGCATTTGTTATAAATAGAATCGTCTTAGAAGTGATTCTATTTTAAAGACGCATATGGTAGCTTTGTTATTTAAACTATATCATTACTTTCTCTCAATTAATTTGTTAATTAATTTTCATATATCTCAACTCACCTTGTACGGCTCCGAAAAACAGGATAATGAATACCAAACTGTGGCCAAAAAAACATAAAATAACACCTATAGATGCTATTAAGCATCCACTGAAGACAATAGTTCTTATAATTAAAAATTCGGCCAAAAATCCTGCAAGAGGACCTGAAATTTCGGAAGAAATTAAAACAAATAATTACTTTGGTTACAAAATATAATTAAATGCAATTTATCAAAACTAGACGCGACTGTACTATAAACAAATTTCTCTTATCTATAAAAATGTCTTCCTAACCTATTTTTCTAACATTAAGTAATGTACTCGAAGAAACATTTGAATGTAAATTACAAACTTACTTACCAACTAGAAACATTATTGATGAGCATAAAGTGATAGGCCATGCTGCTTGTTCCCTAGTTATCCCAAATTCTGCCAGTAAAGCAACGTAAACAATAGCTGCTGATCTTTGCAATCCCAAAATGATAAAATTGATGCCGAAACACGCAGTGGCTACAACCCATCCCCATTTATCTTCCTGGTTATTTACTATTCCGACAGGTTTATCCATGTTTATGACACAGTACTCGTATACTTACAGATATTATTTGAATTCTGACGTACGCGTCACGTGAACAAGACTGGATATCCGGTGTTCTGTCTTTTGAATAATTTATTTTTTTTAGGTACTTACTATAATATTAACTCGTGTGTAACTGTTTATATTCAGGAATGTTTTGATGAGTTTATTTAATTATTTATGAAACACTTTTAATGTGTTTATGCAAAACTAGAACTGTGTTTAGAATTTACATAAGAAACATTTTAGCGTGTTTTAAAATGCACATAACTCATTTTGGGATATTTAGAAATGCCACTAAACATGCTTTAACACACATTTTGATTAAAGTATAAAACATATTTTAAATCAAATTGTTTATTATTATTATTATTATTTTATGACTTAAATTTTATCTTAATAAAATAAATCACAAATAATATAATAACAATGAACGTTACGTGATATAAATCAATTTTATGAAGTAAAAATAGCAGTAGGTAGTAAATATTTATGCATTTAAACATTTCAATTCAGGTTTTTTACGTTATTTTTAGTTTAATAATTATTTTCTACCGGAATTATTTAATATAAGTATCAAAATTTTGTAACGAATATTTACGGCAATCATTGCCGTAAATATCACTGTAAATTTTATTTAGTTTATTATAAATGTTTATTCAGAGAAATAAGGAAAACATTTATTTATGAAATTACCAATTCGTTACGTCACAAGTTAAGCCATAAATTTAAATGATAAGATGAAAAAATTATGTTCTTACGAAAGGGATTAAAATAAAATAAGCCTATCTAAACGTTAGATTTGAAGTTTACAGCTTTAATGATAAATTAATATATTTTGAAATGTAGCCTACTTAATAATGCTTAGTGTGTTTAGAAATGCATATAATCATACAGACTAAAAAAAGGCATTAAAATGCCTTTAATAAAATTTCTTAAGTTATAACAACAACATAGGCATATATCTTTAAAGATTTGTATATGAAAAACACACCTCAGTAACACTTATATGATTTTAATGTCGCATTTCAGAGAACAGAGATTTAAATACCTGGTATCGCATGTTTATTCGTATTTAAATTTGAACCTTTTCGCAACTAGTTACTAAATGAATATAAGAAAATTTATTAGTAAATAGGATATGTTCATTGCGTGTATTTAAGCAATTAAGAAGCACTGATTCATCTCGCTAAAATTATAAAGCAGCTTAAGTTTAACCCAATTTTTATTTGAAGAAAATTGAACATGATTTATATGTTTTCCTGTAAATTATTACCCAATAAATCTTATTAATGAAAAATAGTTTGTATGTACCAGTTGAAATTAAAGCCACTAATGTAGCAGAACCACTAATTGCTTTCTTATCTGAAGAAAGATTATGACCATATTAGGTAGAGGAAAAACTGGCTACCAATTAGGCAATTGCTAAACGAGAAAGATGATCTATTATAATAAAGTGATACATTTGATATGAACATAATTTATATAATTAAAATTAAGAAGTGTATAAATACAGTATAAGAAATTTTCTGAATATTGTGGCGGTGTCTCTCAGATTTTAACATCTACATATCTGCAAATCAAATTTATAAATATTATTCAGAGTTATATTTAACATTTGCAAACAATTTTAAACTGATATGAAAGCTTTTTATGATTTAAAACCGATTCTTCAATCGGTGTTGTAGCATATTTATCGTATTATAATCATTAGTCAGGAAAAAGATAAGTTCTCCATACATAACATTTTTCTACCCTCGATATTTTACATTAAATTTAAAATAAGCTTAAAATATAATAATCTATTATTATTATTATTATCAGCATTGGATAATATTAAATATGCTTCGTTAGTAATATATTATTTTCCAAATTTATGCTTATCAGTGGTCGAGCGGACCACAAAACACATAACGGTCATGGGGTCGCGCCTGACAAACGGACTGGCGAATTGGAGTTTTCCGGACTTTTTTTACGTATAGGGACTTTATATACAACTGTATAGAGGCCAGTTTCCCATAGAAACTCGTCCCGTAAAACACCCGATTGGCAGCTCGCTCTCGTGTTGAGTTGCTTATCCCATCAATCCAATCCGTTTCATTGTTATTTTTGTACATTTCGTCTTTAAAATTAAGTAAACTGAAACCTGAAAACACTAAAAAGATAAGTAATTGCGGTATATTTATGGTTATTTTAAAACGTTTTCTGTCCTGTTGGCCGCCTTTTCATATCTGCCATTTATCCAGTTAGACCCAAATTGGGATGCCTGGACGTGAGTTATAAGAGCGGTACATCCTGACCAACCTATCCACAAAAATTTCTGAGACGAGTGGACTCGACCTGGGCACCTCAAAAACAATAGCTGATGTCTTAATGCTTGATCATACTATCACCAAACTATACTGTAATCCTACCGGTATCATCAAGCTTTGAGCTAGTATAAGATTTATCTTGATGTAATAAAATGTTTATCTCTCGCTCGTGTTATTTCATTATCGTTATTAGGAATAGTTTATTATATTTAACTGGCCATCAGCTGACGTTCTGACCTATAAAAAAAGACGATTCAAATTTCACATTAATCTTTATATATTATCAGTGCAGTACCTGCAGCATTCTAAAAGCATGAAACTAATATAGCACAACCACAACTGTTTAAGGACCGTTCATTAATTTCATATACACTTTAAGGGAGTGAGGGATCAAGAGTCTACATTTAATTAATGGACGACCCCTTATAGAAATGTGTCAGATATATAAATGGTCCATCCTATTTACTCATTACAGAATTAAAGTAAATATTTTAATACAGTTACGAAATGAGTAGTAGTGTTATATAAATTAGGTTAGATTTTCGTGTCGATGATGTTTTAACTTATTTTGTATTGAAAACTATTGATAATTTATTATTTTTATTGCAATGAAAATTAAAGTGTATCTCAAACACTTTAATTTTTCAAAAAGCAAACAAACCTGTACAGAAATTCTGTATATTTTTCAATTTTAGCATTAAGAATAAATTCACTGTTTTAGAACTCTATTTTATTTTTGATGAGGCACAATACGGAATAATTTGAATGACCACAATTATGCTAGTTTCTTAAGATACAGTAGAATTCCGCAAACTCGACTTAATGTGGACAGAGAAGGTGACGAGTTGTCGAAAATGACTAGTTTTACAGCATAGGGATGATACTAGTCTAAATAGCGGAATTTTCGTAAAGTATTATATGTGCAAATTCATATACATATTAACTACATACCAGTAGTTAGTATTTAGGCTATATTTGTAGTTAAATTTTAATTTAAAAAATATTCACTCGATACTGGCTACTTTGTTTTGTTAGTTACGCCAACGCAACTAACAAAACAAAGTTGGGCGATCTGTCTAGTGAGATACTTTCCGGGAGGTCTTTTAAAAGGTAACCGGTCCCTATTTAGGCATTAAATAGAAAATCCGATCAACTACGTGGCCTAGTCCTAGGCAAACCCGCGACCGAACTGCTAGTGTTAAGGGAACGGAACCGCTTGGCTACTTTCGAGTTAGTGACATTCGCGTCGTGGCGTTTTTTGCAGTGGCACTTTGGAAAAAAGGTTATATTCTTTGTTAACACCTGAAATTGATGCCATTATAGCGTGTTACCGGTAAAGAACGATAATTTACTTGACTCTAATATTAACTTATAGAGGTAAAAATTAGATAACATGTATTTCATTTTACATCCCCAGCTGTTATGTATAACAGGAGGAAAGTATAGAGATCGTTCAAAAAAATGACCCCCCCCCAGATTTTTACAGTTTTGGATTCAGAGGACCTTAAAACGCCGAGAAACGCAAAGAACTTCGGGTTTTTCTGTATATATGGATGTATGTTTGCTGTCTGTCTGTCTCTCTCTGTGTGTGGGGGGTAGGATTTTGTTCATCCCCTTTGAACAAAATAACTCCTTTGTTTTTTATCGAAAATTTCTGAAATTTTACAGGGAGGTTTGTTTATTAGGGGATTGATGCTGTTAAATTTTGGTGTTTAAAGGTTGAAGGGGGTAGGAAGATAAACGGGATCGTGTGTCATATCTCGAGTAGAGTCAGACTTAATGATTTTACTTGTTATTAGCATTTACTTTTTTTTAAATCCATCCTTGCCCTCAAAATTAAGCTTTTGCTAGTTTACAATATTTTATTAAAACTATAAAAATTTTAATATAAAATATGACAACAGATAGCGTTACTAAATGTAGCCGGGAAAGTTAAGCAACTCGTTGCTGGACTTTTCGACACTACGAGTTTTACGAAATGTCGAGTTTCCGGGACTCTACTGTACTAGAACCACAAACCAGGCATTGCTATACAAAAAGCAGCATTAGCAATAACTTGATGGTGGTGCTTCGAAATGTTAGCTGTGATTTTTAATATTTTTACATTTCATTCATCAATGCAAAGAGCACCTTTGCAAATTCGCAAAACTATTACTTACACTCCTATATTAGAATGTTGAAATTAAAAAAAAATAAAATTTCTTTCGACAAGTGACATAAAAAAAGCTGTTTTTACTTATTTTAATGATTTTATTTATATACATTTTTTTCTCTTTGGATAGAATTGAACCCCTCATTTTGAATGATCCAGACTTCATATCACCTGATACATCCTGATCACTTTTCACTGCGGCATATTGTACCATTATTTGGTAGCGAGGGAGGGTTTGTTTTATCTTAGTTTTGTGTCTCTAGACTTTATAAGTCCAATCCCGAGTAAATTTAATTGTATAAATGACGATCAGAGACCCGGAAGAGATTGATTAGGAAGGCCAAGGACTAGGTTGGAGTAATGGGATAAGGCAAGTTAAACAACACATCGGCAATCTGCCAAGCGAAGATGCCTCCCGGATAGACTTTATATGAGAAACTGACTATTATTTTGATGCTAGACAAATAAAAAAAAACACTCCGGAAAACTCCAAATGCGACCAACTATCATTGTTTCAGTGGTTTTAATATATACACTCGGCCACTGGGGACAAGGTCAATTCTAGGCAGTCAAGCCAATATATATATGTTATAAATTAAACAATGAATTGCATATCATATAATGCTGTATCAAGTTACGAAACAAAAAATAAAATACAATTTTAATTATTTTTGACTATTACTACTGTTAAATCTACTATAAAAGTAAAATAAAATCTATATGTTAAAAATGAGTAACTTTTAATGGGATTCACATTTATTTAAGGTAAATTATCAATATTTAAAATAATTATACAGAGAAACACGTGATTAATTACTCAATCATCAATGAAAAGAAAAAAATATAGGATCGTCTTATTCGTTACATAAATAAGTATTATTCTGTAATATTATTTAACTAAAAAATTCGTTCGCACGTTCTCGAATGAAATAATATATATATATTATTTCATATACATATATTATTTCATTTATATTTAAAATATATATATTTTTTAAATATAAATGAAATTTAATAAAATTTAATAAAAAAATCAATTAAAACAAGATCTAAATAAATACAAAAAAGATCTTGTTTATTAAATTATTCTTTGAAACTTGATGATGTTAAAATTCAAGTCAGATTCAAAAGCTATAAATTTTTCGAAGCTCAAAAAAATAGTTCGCCTTGATACATGATTGATCAAACTAATTATTATAAACAGTTTTTTTTTTTTTAATTCAAGAAATAATGCAAGATATCATTACAACGAAGGATTCTTTCTTCGATTCCAACAAGGTCATTCACTAACAAAATCATAAATCAATCATTAATATTGGTCAATAACACTGACCTAAATTTAGTTACAAGTCAGAAATCAGAAAGTAAGTTCAAATTAAGTTAGAAATCGCTAATTTCATTTTTTTTAATTATTAAGAGTGATTAAAATTAACAAATTTATACGCGAAGACTTAAGAGTTTACTAAATAAATAAAAATGTAGTTAACAGGATTTTAACTTTTTCCTTTGAATTTCAGCTTACTCTCTGTAACTTGAAATCCAAAGCTATGTAGATAGGCTATTTCTTTATACAGGTACAGAAATGCTTGTTTATTTTCAGAGAGATTTAGTTTTACGTTTATTAAATAAATGTATTGTAACTAATTTTAATGATAGTGCTTAGTTTACAAAAGCATTTAGTTTTTCTATACTGTATAGCATGTTTTTAATATTATGCATTGAGCAGAAGCACGTTTATTTATAACTAAAAGGCACGTTTATTTTAGTTTATTTTAACTTTCCGTCCTAGGACACTGAGGGCCTTTTTAGCAAGCGAAAATGGGCGGCCGGGGGTGAGGGGCGGAGCCCGACATATCCGGATCATCCCTGAAAAATTATTTGGCTTTTTGACCAGTCCCGATTCGATCCCTAGAGCTGTAGACTGCCACATTTATCCACTCGGTCCAGGAAGGCAAATAAGAGGCGAGGGCGTGTAAAGGAAATAGACAAACTAGCGATGATGCTGACCCATTACGTGTCGTCACTGTCAATGAAAAAAGTGAGGACGTTGGGATCTTAGTTTGACAGAAGGACGACAGAGTTTAACTACGCCCCTGTAGTGTAGTAGACCCCACTTTTACAATTAAACAAAATTCAAAACGAATCGAATCGTTCTATTTATAATAAATTTCAGCCTCATAAATTGGGATTAAGTTTCCGGAAGTTATACTATTCTATATAAATAGAATAGTATCATACAGAGTTGGCTACAAAATCAAAACACAGAATACAATAAATACGGCGTTTCACTGTCGTAAACAAAGAAAATTTATTCCAGTCGTAAAGCGGATGTCTACATTATTTTGCACAATTTACAAAATATAATTCATTCAGAAACGATATAGATTTACTACTTAAACTGAATCAGAAAACTGTTTTTCTCTCCCCCTTAAAATTGTCGAGTTTTTAAGATTTTATGGATATTTTTTGATCTACTTAACACTCTGAGCGTATAAAATAGTCCATCCTCGTCACTCAGATTAATAGATATGATTTTACTTTCGAAGATATTAATTTTGAATAAGGGAACGTCCTAATTTATAAAGGAATTCGAATTTTTCTGGATGAGAAGTTTCGTTTCGTAAACTGATGAATAAAAATATCTATCTTCACTCAAGTAATATGGGACGAGATGTGATCTGGGTTACGTCCCAAATTACAAATCGAAATAGCATTAACTTTACAATTAGAAACGAAACATGTCATAAAATTGACGTGTTCAATAAATTATACAAAAGTGTTTTTGCACAAGACATGTTTATTATTTTAAAAATTAAATTCATAACATTTTGAACAAAAACAGATACGTTTCAGTTTATGAAATAAATTTAAGCAAAATTTTAATATTATGTTATTATGTTATTTATATTATATTTATGCAGTAACAACTAAAAAACTTCCTTAAATTAACGTGACGTAGTATACGAGCTACGAATACGTAGCATTTGTTATAAATAGAATCGTCTTAGAAGTGATTCTATTTTAAAGACGCATATGGTAGCTTTGTTATTTAAACTATATCATTACTTTCTCTCAATTAATTTGTTAATTAATTTTCATATATCTCAACTCACCTTGTACGGCTCCGAAAAACAGGATAATGAATACCAAACTGTGGCCAAAAAAACATAAAATAACACCTATAGATGCTATTAAGCATCCACTGAAGACAATAGTTCTTATAATTAAAAATTGGGCCAAAAATCCTGCAAGAGGACCTGAAATTTCGGAAGAAATTAAAACAAATAATTACTTTGGTTACAAAATATAATTAAATGCAATTTATCAAAACTAGACGCGACTGTACTATAAACAAATTTCTCTTATCTATAAAAATGTCTTCCTAACCTATTTTTCTAACATTAAGTAATGTACTCGAAGAAACATTTGAATGTAAATTACAAACTTACTTACCAACTAGAAACATTATTGATGAGCATAAAGTGATAGGCCATGCTGCTTGTTCCCTAGTTATCCCAAATTCTGCCAGTAAAGCAACGTAAACAATAGCTGCTGATCTTTGCAATCCCAAAATGATAAAATTGATGCCGAAACACGCAGTGGCTACAACCCATCCCCATTTATCTTCCTGGTTATTTACTATTCCGACAGGTTTATCCATGTTTATGACACAGTACTCGTATACTTACAGATATTATTTGAATTCTGACGTACGCGTCACGTGAACAAGACTGGATATCCGGTGTTCTGTCTTTTGAATAATTTATTTTTTTTAGGTACTTACTATAATATTAACTCGTGTGTAACTGTTTATATTCAGGAATGTTTTGATGAGTTTATTTAATTATTTATGAAACACTTTTAATGTGTTTATGCAAAACTAGAACTGTGTTTAGAATTTACATAAGAAACATTTTAGCGTGTTTTAAAATGCACATAACTCAATTTGGGATATTTAGAAATGCCACTAAACATGCTTTAACACACATTTTGATTAAAGTATAAAACATATTTTAAATCAAATTGTTTATTATTATTATTATTATTTTATGACTTAAATTTTATCTTAATAAAATAAATCACAAATAATATAATAACAATGAACGTTACGTGATATAAATCAATTTTATGAAGTAAAAATAGCAGTAGGTAGTAAATATTTATGCATTTAAACATTTCAATTCAGGATTTTTACGTTATTTTTAGTTTAATAATTATTTTCTACCGGAATTATTTAATATAAGTATCAAAATTTTGTAACGAATATTTACGGCAATCATTGCCGTAAATATCACTGTAAATTTTATTTAGTTTATTATAAATGTTTATTCAGAGAAATAAGGAAAACATTTATTTATGAAATTACCAATTCGTTACGTCACAAGTTAAGCCATAAATTTAAATGATAAGATGAAAAAATTATGTTCTTACGAAAGGGATTAAAATAAAATAAGCCTATCTAAACGTTAGATTTGAAGTTTACAGCTTTAATGATAAATTAATATATTTTGAAATGTAGCCTACTTAATAATGCTTAGTGTGTTTAGAAATGCATATAATCATACAGACTAAAAAAAGGCATTAAAATGCCTTTAATAAAATTTCTTAAGTTATAACAACAACATAGGCATATATCTTTAAAGATTTGTATATGAAAAACACACCTCAGTAACACTTATATGATTTTAATGTCGCATTTCAGAGAACAGAGATTTAAATACCTGGTATCGCATGTTTATTCGTATTTAAATTTGAACCTTTTCGCAACTAGTTACTAAATGAATATAAGAAAATTTATTAGTAAATAGGATATGTTCATTGCGTGTATTTAAGCAATTAAGAAGCACTGATTCATCTCGCTAAAATTATAAAGCAGCTTAAGTTTAACCCAATTTTTATTTGAAGAAAATTGAACATGATTTATATGTTTTCCTGTAAATTATTACCCAATAAATCTTATTAATGAAAAATAGTTTGTATGTACCAGTTGAAATTAAAGCCACTAATGTAGCAGAACCACTAATTGCTTTCTTATCTGAAGAAAGATTATGACCATATTAGGTAGAGGAAAAACTGGCTACCAATTAGGCAATTGCTAAACGAGAAAGATGATCTATTATAATAAAGTGATACATTTGATATGAACATAATTTATATAATTAAAATTAAGAAGTGTATAAATACAGTATAAGAAATTTTCTGAATATTGTGGCGGTGTCTCTCAGATTTTAACATCTACATATCTGCAAATCAAATTTATAAATATTATTCAGAGTTATATTTAACATTTGCAAACAATTTTAAACTGATATGAAAGCTTTTTATGATTTAAAACCGATTCTTCAATCGGTGTTGTAGCATATTTATCGTATTATAATCATTAGTCAGGAAAAAGATAAGTTCAGCCTTGGCATTTGAACTGTCAGAGGATATTGATAATCCAATGAAAGGTATTTAAAAACATTACCCGCAACCCTATCAATAATTAAGAGAATTTTTATAAAATATAAAATCATGTGAGAAACTTATCAGTGGTGAAATGAAATCGCAATTGTACCAAGAGAGTCCTCTATAATGCAGATTTTTTTCTCAATACTTTGTTATTAATAAATAGTGTTTTTCTAAAGCGGCCGAAGGCCAATATTTCTTGCGATAAGACTGCAATTAGCAGCCACGTTACATCATGACTTGTAATTATAACTAACAAATATAAAGGCGTAAAGAGCACAGAAACGGACTTATGCCTCGGACTCCGAGAAAGAGAGAATAGTAGGTCTACGAACTCTTCGAGTAAACATTAAATAATTTATAAAATTTTTCAAATAACAGTTAAACGTTATGTTTTTATTAATGTTGACATTATTATTATTTTCATTATTATTATTGTTGTTCTTATACCGGACGAACGTAATTAAAGTATCCTCCTATTCAATCTGTCTACGGAGATATTTACCAGGCCAAATGCATCAAATTTAATGATAGTATGATGGCACCTGAAATTTATGTTATATTATATTAGCACCAAAACTCGCAACTACGGCACTTTTGGCAGTATGATAACAGACATTTTATTTGTACCGCTTTGGTTGTCATTCTAAAGGTATAAAATCCGAAAGAGATGAAAATTGTGTTTGACTACGACCGTAATTCATCCTCTATAATGCTTCTCTTAAAAACACCTCCCGGAAGGCATCCCCTAGGCCAGGGGTCGGCAACCTTTTGAGTTGGAAGAGCCAAAAATTACAATTTACAAAATTTCAAAGTTTTTAAAGAGCCACAAAATTTTTTCTTGCCAACAATAAATAGTACTCGCATAAATAAAGNTCATATATATATATATATATATATATGAGACTTTTCTTTGCGTTTTGAAAAAACTTTAATTCACGTAAGAAAGATTTGGATAACAGGAACGTTTTAAGGACTACAAATTACATAAAAAATATTGTGATTATTATAAAAAACAAATGTAGGACTTCTTTTTCGTCTTTCGTCTTTTCGCGCGTTCTTCTTCTACCGTCGTCTCCTCTCGCGAAGTCGCGTCTTGTCCCGTTCTCCACATATATAGTCTATACATTATATGATGTACTTTCTTACTACGTTTATTCATATGTAATAATAAAAATACATATATACACGGTCTTACATTTATATATATATATACACGGTCATGTTTTTTTTCCGTTTGTGGGGGTTAAAAAAATCTGTCCAATGTCGATTGCCTTTCTGTCTTCGTCATGATTTTTCAGAAGTAATTAATAGCATTGTAACTGTAGAGATCCCTAGGCCTATTAACCTCAACCTGGTTTGGGTGCCATTTAAGACCGTTGTTCTGACATCCTCCCACTTCTTCAAAAAATCATTAATAGCAGATATCGGCATAAAACCGCTTTTTCAGAAGAAAACGTAAAAAAACTTTCTGTCAGAAATATAAAAGGCTGGAATTACAAGGGAGAGTTTCAAAGTTCTGGGGCAATACTATCCGATCAGTGTATACTGGGTTGAACGTCAATGTCGATGTCTCCCACGCTCCGAAAAGTTTCGAATTCTTGCTTGAAGACAAAGGAAGACCAATCGGTATTCGTTATTTTACGTCGCTTCTTCGTGTTTGTTCAGTGAAGTATTCGTTATCCGAACATGTGTTCGTTGTCCGATCATAAAAATCTTTCGCGAAAGTGTTCGTTATCCGATTTGTTCGTTAACCGATCACCCACTGTACTTTGCTGATTGATTAGAGTGTCGATCTTGATTGACTGTTGATTTGAAGATTTTTGTGTTCTCAAAGATATAGTACAACGAACGCATTCAAAAATCAATTAGGCTATATTTTTGACAAGCCTACATGTCAAGAGAATTCAGTACTAGCAATCTCTCAGCTGAAACTAGTAATAAAATAATTTCAGTGAATGTCGCAAGGGGCGCGACTTTTCGATCATTCTATATTATCGATGGCCACTTATCTAAAATCGAAGAGAAAGTACGTTTTAATTCCGATGTATCGTTTGAATAACATGACGTTTCCGGTAACGTTTTGANATATTTGCGTATGGAACTAAAGATCCGCAGCTTTACATTCAAAGAGCCGCATATGGCTCGCGAGCCGCAAGTTGCCGACCCCTGCCCTAGGCAGATCGCCCAAGTGTTGCGTTGCCATAACTAAAACACTCCGTATAAACAGTGAATTCTTACTTTTAGATTCTAGATCAGGCATGTCAAAGATACGGCCCGCGAGGCAATTAGTTGCGGCCCGCGACGTCAATTCAATAATGCTATTTGTTTACTTTTTATTATCTTGATACCAAAGAAAATGTGATATTTTGTACTTAATACTTAATAAACAAAATCGTTGAACTCAATTACTATTATTATTATTGTTGTTGTTGTTTTTATTTTTATTTCTTCATATTATCATACTTATATTTATTTTACAGTATTTGATTTATTTTTGTGTTTATTTTCTTGTTTATATTATATTTTCTCTATTTCATCTTTTGAATTTCAAATTAAAATTCATCTTGGCAAGATCATTTATTGCATAATTTGCATATAAAATGAGTGTTTTTGATATAGTAGTAAATTACAGTTTATGTTTGTATTTTGAGTCTTAAGATCCTTATTTTCGGCTTAGTTTACAGACCTGCTTCAGGCCTGTAAATTGGCCGAAAATGTTTGTACTGTGATTAAAGTTTTTGCTGGAAAAGTACGAATGTTGTTTTTTATTGTCAAATCTCGGGTTATTAAAAATGAATTTTTTTTAGTCGGCTACTTTTAGACTACTTTTTAGAAAATTTTTGGCTACAAAAGCTGAAAACATCTTCCGTATTCGAGACACTTCTGTGATTAGCGAAACTTTGTTGCGGATATTTTCTTGGTGTGCAAGTTCGGTCTAATAAACTGTATTTATTGAAAATTTTTTACCATTGCAATGTCAACTGAAAGAAAAGTTGATAGTGGGTGCCGATTTTTCCAGCGAAAGTGGGAAATTTCGTATTTTTTTTTTATTGAATGGAAAGCTAAACCACTTTAATTCGCAATCAGATTATTGCCTTTTGTAAAGAATTTAATGTGAAAAGACACTATGAAACGAATCATAAAGATAAGTTTAAGTTATTTACCGACGAAATTAGGCAAGAAAAACTGGCATCATTGAAAACTGAACTTTCGGGGCAACAATCATTTAAAAAAAAAAATAAAAAACTGACAGTGAGAATGCAATGAAAGCTAGTTATTCGATCGCACTAAAGATTGCAAA